GTTGGAACTTTCTGACTCGAGTGATTCTGATATGATTTTGAATGTTTCTACTTTAGATCTGAATCTTCCTGATCTAATTTGATTCGATCTGAATGTTTTTGATTTTTTTTGAATTTTTTCTGCTCTAATTTGATCTGAATAAAGGATTTTTTCTTTTAGACTATTTTCAATCCCAGACCATATCAGACCAGATTAGACCAGACCAGATCAGACTTGACTTCCGTAATTATAAAATACACAGAGACCAGACAATTACTAGACCAGACCAGATTAGACCAGCAAATTTCAGTCCAAAAGAAAACATCCAAAATAAGAAAAAACAATAAGAATAAGGCGTACAAAGCAACTCTTTAATTTCGTTATTATATCAAATCATATGTAGATAGATCAATTCACACTTAAATAGACTAGATCATATCAAACTTGAACAATAGTAAAATATGGAGTATCTATATACAGAGGACTGCTCAGGTCCCTCCGGAGGGACCGTCTGAACTTTACTGTTTGGGGCGGTTCCCGGTGTAATTTTTTGATGAAATGTTTTGAGCATGTTCCTCATCAAGTCTAGTTTGTCCATACCAAATTTCAGCTCAAAATTCGACCGGGAAGGTAGTCAAATAAATTCTTGAAACTTACTGCACTTAATATATGCGCAGAATGTGCAGTAAGCTTCAAGAATTTATTTGACTGCCTTCCCGGTCGAATTTTGAGCTGAAATTTGGTATGGACAAACTAGACTTGATGAGGAACATGCTCAAAAAATTTCATAAAAAAATTCTACCGGGAATCGCCCCAAACAGTAAAGTTCGGACGGTCCCTCCTGTCCCTCCGGAGGGACCTGATCTTTTCTGTCTATATACAGTCTTTTGACTAGTTTAGATTAGGGGTGGACTGGGCCCGGGCTCCGGGTCATATATATTCAGGCCCGGTACCGGCCCGGGTTAGAACCAGGACCGGGCCGAGCCAGTCCGGATCCGGCAAAAATTAAGTTTTTTTTTGTCTTTTAGAATTAATTTGAACCTTACCCCCCAAACCGCCCAGCCCCATCCACCTCAAACCAACACCGCCCGATTTTTTTTAAAAAAATATTTGGGCCCGGGCCCGGCTAGGCTGGTTCACCTATTTTGAAGCTCGTAGCCCGCCTCTATAACCCCCGGTTTGGGCCCTAGTCCCGGACCCCCAGGTCGGGTCGGGTTGAACTGGCCTAGTCCACCCCTAGTCTAGATACCAAACTTAAATGGATCATATTATACCAAAGAAGACATAATCAGATCATCACACTATTCAGAATATCTCAATGGCATATTAAATGTAAACATCTTCCGCTACTCTCAATGGCATATTCAGAATTTTTTATTCTATGGGGTGAAGTTACATGCATGCAACTATAGCATTAAAAATATTTTTTAAATTATAAATAAAATCATTGATTTGATAAAGTTGTGCTAGAAAAAGAATTAAAATCAAGTTAAAATATTACTCCGTAATTTACTAGAAAGTAATCCTCTCATTCTTTCATATTTTAACTTGTAAAATATTTTGTATTTCTAAATACAAAAAATCTGTTTGTCACATCATTCTACACGTTTCTATACACGTCCACCCCTAATTGTTTGCCGTGTACCCATGCAATTTGTTAAAAAAAGTCGCAGAAAATGTACATAAATGTTTATGTGGTGTGTTAAATAAACATGTACATGCCACCAATGTGTACAAGAAGATGATTCTTCTAAATTTTGAACACATACGCATACCTATTAGGCTATGGTGATTATTTTCTTTTTCAAAATAAACACTAAAATGACTTCGCTTACGGTCTTGTTAAAAAAATCCGCTGGGAGCAGCTGCCCCCATTGCCCTATAGTTGATAAGCAATTGTCTCCTCTAGATTCTAACCACATGGTCAGACCACGTGACTAGAACTTAGATCGGGACCCGTGGTCTAAACCTGTCATATATATTCCTTTCGGTTATGTTATACACATGGAAAATGATGTCTTTAATTTAGTTACATTGTAAAAGTGATATGACTTGACCACACAATTCTTTTATAACACCTTTTGTAAGAATATATATGCATACTTCTAATTAATTAACATAACTCTTGGATAATACGCCTCCATCTTCACTTTGCAACATTGCATGGTTATCCCATTTCCATTCCTTATTATGATAATAATACTTTCAGTGCACACATATTTTAAATCTTATTATGCTCCGTCGACCTCATGTGCGGTGTAAAGCGTTTAATTGAAGGATAATTTGATCTTGTTTGTAAAAGAAGAATGAAAGAGATATGCTGACCAACTTTCTTGGTCTTGCTTCCAAACTTGTCATGGGATTTGCTTCTAAGCATTATATCAATTGAGCTGTCGATCTAATAATTAATATAAGTACTACTTATATTAATTATTAAAATAATTAATCAATAATATGGTTTAATTATATATATATATATATTTGCCTTAACCTTACAAGCAACACAACAGACCCAACGCAGAAAAGAACAACCGCCTTGGCATTTACAGCAATTAATCATTGTTACCTTTTAGACCATTTCTGCGCGTTACTATATTTAACGTAACATATATCCTCCTATTATTATTCAACAAGCTAATTAGGAGGCACTTATTAAGTAATTTGATGCTACCTATAACAAACTTCTTTGATCTTTTGAAGTTAAAGAATCATATACATTCAGCGTATTATTCAATAGGGTATACGGTTAATTAATTCAACATTAATTACATGTCCTCAACACCAGTTTTTTATTTTTATGTGTAGTCAGTTCTTTTATAAGACCAGCTAGATTGCTACTTTCTTTTTGTAATGATAATTATCGAATTATAATTAATTATGTTCTTGTACATATATAGACGTTATACCAAATGTTTTTGTATATATCAGTTTTTCAGCAAAAAATTTAATAGACGTCCCTTTTATATATATATATATATTTGTATTTTATACATATACTTCGGATAATAATTTATCCCCATTTGGTAGGAGTGCTCCTAACGATTGAGTTGATTTGGATCGATTAAGAATAAACAAAGACGAAAAAGAATAAAGTTAGCAAATGAGGTAGTGAATTATCAAAAAGAAGGTATATATGGATATATCATATATGTGTTAAAATAGGAAGTTCTTCCAATGATAATTTGGATGGATTAAGTGAACAAAGCTTTGATAATGTTAGTGAATTTAGTGAGGATGGGATTTATGACGGTTTTTGTGGATAAAAGCATATTATTTCATGCACCTAACTCTACTTTTGAGTGAAAAATTAAACTTTGAACCTATTATGTCTGTGAAGTATTTTTTATCTGTGAATCCGATTCACAGACAAAATAATTTGCATATACATATTTTGTTTATGATCGGGATTCACAGACAAAAAAAACTTTGCACAAAGATAATAAGTATAAAAATTGGTATAAGGGTGGGTACAAATAGTTTTTTTGAAATTTTTTTAATACAATTTTCTAACGTAATTAGGGGTCTCTGTCATCTCTTGTCCCTGGTCCACAAGTTGTAACTGACCCTATGAGTGTGTCGCCCCTATATGAATTTTAAATAATGTCCTTTTAAATTCAATGTTGTACTAGAGAACTTGTTTTTATATTTTTCTAAAATAAAACTCCGTAAGAAAGTAATAATAATATACCAAAGCTATTATAATTGATTGCAAAAAGTTCTTTATTTCTAAAAATCATATTTAATTTTTCTTGAAATATTCAAAATTTTCTTGAAACATCAAAGTGGAGAATATTGTGTTATTTATTCTTATTGATATGCAGATGGTTTAAAAGTGCAATTTTATGTAGAGTACAAACAAATTGATAATCTTTTTATCGAGAAAAGGAAAATTTGAAGTACATATAAAACTACTATCCTCATTCTACAAAATTTGGTCAAAGTTTGTTTGGTCAATGGTAGTAAACCTTGGACATCATATCCTCCATATGATTCTAGTTATTATAGTTATGCGAAATTTATACGAAATACATTTTAGCGAAATTTATACGAAATACATTTTATACTTTACGAAAGTAATTTTAATATTGAAGTACTCGTTTTGAAGGTACATTTTGTTTATGATTGATAGAATATATAATTACATTGAAACATTTTTAATCATTCTCCAGATCAGTACAACTATTTTGTTTATTATTTTATTTGTATAATTTTTACGGTGATTTTTTTCCTAGGACCCCGAATTGTCTGAGGCCGTCCCAATATGTGACTTGTTAGGACTAGGGAGTGAGGAGAATATCTTCATTATCTTGACATTGAGTAGTGTTGTGACTGGTTTGGACATTATTATTTAAAAATACTTATGTACTACGTAATAAATTGTTCAAGGTCGTTTTCATGATATTGGTACAACTTTTAAATACCTCATGATATTAACAAATCCTAATAATAACTTATCACTACAAAAAAAGGCCACTACAAGAAAAAGGCTCATTAGCGAAGGGAAAAATGGTCACTAAAACTTAAAAAATGGCCGCTAAAGATTATTAGCGACCAAAATATGTGGTCGCGAGTTGGTCCCTATTGCCCTCGCCGCAAAAGACATTTTGCGACCGGAAAAAGACGTCGGTCGCTAAAACAATTTGAGACCAAATTTTATCTGGCCGCTAATGATATCAGTAAGGAACACATTGTCATGGCTTTTGCGACCATGTTCCCTTTACGAAAACAAATTTGTATAAATACTTTCTAACAACTTATTCCAATAAATAGTGCTTGATGATAAAATATACTCCGTAATACGTACACAAGAGATGATATACAAATGCATAATAATAGGATAAAATCTTCTTTGCATATAATTATTTAACTTTTGGTTCTAAATCAATGATACAAAAAGTATTTAATCATCGATCAACTACATCATCTATTCATCTAATCTACTAAAATAGTTAAAACAAGTAGCTAGCGTCTCATCTTTTCACTTTCCACACGTGATGACTGGGAATGATCCACCCATCTTTGTTTTCTTGATATATACAACATTTCTTTAATCTTTTCAGGATCATATATATACTCCATAGTCCGTATATTGCAAAGCATGAGGTAATTCATCTTCATGCAGCAGCCCCGTAACCCCGTTGACGTCAATATTACATAAAAATGATCTGAGCTATCTGCAATAGCAACCTTAACAATTAACATCAACATGTGTGAATCGACTCTCTTAAGAATTTCATCATCCAATATAAACTCAGACGTTTGTTGCACCTACAACCACAAACCTTAGTATCAGTAAATGAATATAAAATATAAAATATAAAATGTAATACACATCTAATAGAAACACCCATTTAAACATTACTAATAGATATGGGGTAAAACCGGACAAGTAGGACCACATGGATAATAAAAAACTTAATTTCCTGGGTGACCAAATCTTAACTAGCCAGACATTTAATTCTAATGCATAATAATAATACTCTGTAACTACATCATTTTATTATGTGAATGATTCAAACTTCAATAGCTAGAGTACTATAGTTACAGAAATGCAAAACAAATAGGCAGATTCATTAAGAAAGGAATGTCTAAAAAATTACTTCTTCTCTATTTGACAAAGATAGTCCACTTTTATTAATTTCATCCTAAATCTCACAACAATTATTGTACTGCATTCATAAAAACAAAGATAACAAATATTTTTTATACTTAGCTGGTCCATATGCAACCCTACTTGGGAATAATTACACAAACAGATATTACCATTAGTGAACGAATTAAGCCTTCGCTAATAGCATGACCATCAGTTCAACTTAACCAAAGTAACTGCATAGTAGCACATTCCACGATAAAAAATAATATCAGCTAAATACTTTTTAAACCTGCATACTTGAAATTTAACATCTAATTAGTACCGCTTTATCAACTAAATTCTAAGAAATAATCAGTGATATGTAATTTAGAATTGTATGAAAGGCAACAACATTACATTTAGGCGCATCCGAAGTACTTAGTGAATCTACTATTTCTATGACAGAAGCAAGAAGTCACAAAGGTATAAAGATAACTACCAAGCTTGTGTATGATTTCTGCTTGTTTGAATGGAATGTCGTATAGGTGATGATTTTCCAAAGTTGACCGGCCTTCCACTTAATCCTAACACCTCAGAGTATTACTCTGAAATTTATATCAAGCAAGGAAAGAAAATCAGTGCAGCTCAAATATTAACTTGTTATGAAATCAGCTTAAATGTGAAAAGTATAATCCAGCTCATTGAAGACTATATGATTATTCTTGAAATGGAATCACACTGATATATACAACACTCCAGCTTATTCCGATGTTCAAACCCCAATCGATCTCAAAGCTATCATATTGGTTTTCTTAAAAGATGCATATCCTGAACGGGGAAAGCTCAGATTTTCTGATTGGCAGACTGGAAATGCAACTATGAAACTAAACAGATCAACACTCTGAAATAACATAGAGAACGATTAAATTGAAATGATTAAATTGTAAATTGAGAAACATCTTAAATTAGTGATCTTACCCATTACAGATTAACATTGAAAGAAGAATTAAGTACTTTATAATTAACATAAGCAGCAATTTAGTACAAAATAGTGCTCATTAACTATGTATGCGTTTTTATCTATGTGAATTTAGTTTGATCTAGAGCAAGACTTTAATAAAGAACTGAAGTGGCACCTTGTTAAGATCAATAGCCTCGAAAGCTTCCTCCCTGGACAAAAAGTCAGGAAGCAGTCTACTGAATAAGCCCACAACTGGGTTGCTACTGGACTCTCTATTGAACTCCTTGAACTGAAGTGGCACCTTGCATACATACTCTTGTTTTGCGTAATTTTTATTGTTATTTTTGTGTGTAAATTCTCCTGTTATTGTTTCAGTATGATTTCGAACCAAAGGAAAATGAAAAATCTGAGAAATAGCCAAACAGTGTAGTCCAGAAAAAAGCAGAGAAATCATTAAAGGGGGTACCAATATGTAATCAAAAGAGCCCAAATAACAACATCAAACCAAAACTGTACCAATTCACTTGCATAACACATTAAAATCAGAATAGAAAAATGAACAATCAAATTTCTCATACAATGAACAAAACTTGTTGAAATGAGAACAAATAAGTTTCAAAAATTAGATAATAAGAACTGTCTGCAGCACTTTCATAAGATTATTGCTAAAATAGTGATGGGAAAATGTGTTTACCTTGACAACTTGATGTGGCTTTCTGTTTGGGGAGCGGCCAAGTTACTTCGGGGAGCACCCAAGTAATAGACATTTGAACCTGCGAGCAGCTTCTTCCGTTGAATTTTAACTAAAATTTTGACAAATTTTAGTGATAGAAACGAAACGACAAGAGTAGAACAATCGTGGCTGTTCCGAAACCTGGTTAGCTGCTAGGTTTCCTTCGTCTTCTTCCTATTTGAATAATCTTCGTTTTAATTCCTTCCCCTTCCAAAAATGAGGAAAGTGGCTACTATGAAGGCAGACCAGTAGTCGGCGTTTGTGATAGTCTGGATTTGTTCTTCTCCAATTCGTGAATTGAAGTATTGCAGCGAAGACGAAAGAATTGCAGAAGAAAGACCGCGAACGAGCGATGATGTTTCTCGGAGGTTTGATTGAGGAGCGGCCAAGTTGAGTAGAGAAGAAGAATGGTACGAAGCTAGGGTATGATTGCAATCGTGAGGCTAATAAGTCGCAGATGGGCTCCAGGGTTTGCTTTTCAATTTTTTAATTAAAGGAAAAACAAAGAAAAGTACTCCCTAGAAAATAAAAAGTTAGAGCTCTTTTTTGGATTGACCGCCACCCGCCTAAACAAAACTTTTAGGGACGGGAAATTAGAGAAGTAGCGAACGGAAATTAAAATGGTCCGGAAAAAATTAATCATTTGCGACCAGATAAAATTTGGTCGTTATTAGTATATCTATTACGACCATATTCATAGTCTGTTGCAAATTATTCGTCGCAAAAGGTCAATTTTCTTGTAGTGGGCGGGATTGGCACGGAATTTGGCACATAATTATCAATTTTTCGTACCAAATAGCTCGTGCCAAAGTGTTTTTGACACGGATTTGACGTATTTCTGCCAAAATCCGTGCCAAATCCGTGCCAAAATCCTTGCCAATCCCGTGTTTTTTTGTAGTGTTATACGTAGTATCTAATTGTATGATATCAATTTTGAAAAGTGGATTAATAAACTTCAAAAACTTCAAAAAAAAAAACACTCCATAAAAAAAAAACTTCAAAAACACACAAAACGTTTCAAAATATAGTGTTTAATTCATTTTGAACCGTTTTACTCCTTTAAAAAAATCATTTTGAACCAACAAGGTTATCTACTTATATACAATTTGTACATCTTTAAAACATTATTATGTCAGGTTATAATTAAAACAAATCATTTCAAACCGAGCTTTACCAACTTCACGTCTTTGCATGACTTTATATCCGAGACCCAACTGATTCATGTGGCCTAGTTGATTTATTTTGATTTGGAACGTAATCCAAAAGAAAAAGTGTAACACATTCTTGAGAAATTCATGTATTATACAATCCATGTTACGTTACCATGTGAATGTATCGTCCAAAATGAAATTTTGTCTAGTATAATCCCTGTGATGTAGTGGGCATTTGTGATCTGGTACAAAATGAGCCTTTGAAATGAAGATCAAGCTTTTTAAATTTAAATCAGTGTTTGTATTAAATAAAAATTGTATAGAAAAGCCATAATTTTGTCCAAATCAATATTTTGTTATTATGAAACGACAACTAAGTAAAGAAAATTACAAAAATCCTTAGAAGTTCTCGAACAAAATCCCTAAAGTGTATATGCTACCCACTACATTTTCCGGTTACATTGGCATATGACACATTCACATTATATACGCGCCATTTCTATACACGTCTCATACATTGGCATATGACACACATTCACATTATATACACGCCATTTGATAAATGGTTGTTAGCTGTTGCTGTTAGCTGGTTGTGTCAACTGTTTCTTAACAACTGGTTGTGTTAGTTGTTTTGACTGGCTAATTATGTTAGCTGATTATAAATAACTGTTTGATAAAATTGACTGTTTTGAAATGGTTGATAGAGTGTAAAAGGACATATAAAGACATAACAATACTCATTGTATTTTATTATTGCTAAAAATGAAAATTTTATAACTATTGTTACTTCAACTATATAAATCATTTTTATAACTGTAAATTTAAAAATTTGTTGAATAAAATCTATTTTAATACTCCCTCCGGTTCTTAATTAAGTTCCTAGTTTGACTTAACACATATAAGAAATAAATTTGACTTTACTGTGGAGTGCACTGTTTGAACACTGTTTGACACTGTTTGGCACTGTTTTGGTGTAAATCATTTGCCAAATAAGAAAAGGTTTGAAGTAGGAACTTTAATATGGACCATCCCAAAAAGTAAAGTAGGAACTTAATTACGGGACGGAGAGAGTATCTACTTTGATATATCAAATGTTCATCATACTACAAACATTTATAGTATCTAATTTTATAATCACTACTCAATCATCTAAACCAGAAACATCAAATTAATTCAAGATAGAGAGCATAACTAATAATATAAATATTAGTTAAGCATATACTATCGTATTATTTGTCTAGATAGTACTACGTATTTGATTAAACAAGTTTTGTTTAAAATAATTAGAGTAATTATTAGTATATATTACTTAAATGATTAATTTAAAAAATGCTAACTCAAAACAATGAAAACAAAAGGAGTGAAAAGAAGAAAAACTGGTAAGCAAAATAAGGGTTGACTAAGTTAAAAACAAAACAAGCAAAACCATAATGGGAATAAATTGGAGCTATATGGAGTCACTTTGGGAGCTTAGAGCAAAACCAGCCGAATGAAGAAACTGCTCCCCTTAGCTTTTTCAACCATCCATTTTTTCAGCTTTTCAAACTCAACAAGCTAATTTTAAAAGTCATTTACCAAACATTATTATTAGCTTCTTTGACTAATCAAACAGCTCAAATGAGTCAAACAAGCTAAAAATTGGCTGATAAGTCATTTGCCAAACATACCCTATGGAAAATGTCTCTACAAAAGAATAGTCTTCACAAACCGTATAGAACGTGTATGGAAAGGCGTGTACAAATAATAATTTTGTAAAAATTGCATTTACTTAACTTAGAGCTTGTTTTGTGACAATGTTTTTCGGTTTATCAGCCAACTTTTTACTAAACACGTAACTTTTCATTTCGCGCGCTGAATTGTGTAATAATAATAAAAAATAAGGTTGAAATTAATTTTCTGACTGTATTGGCTGAAGTTACTGAAGAGTATCATTTTAGTTATTTTTTTCATGTAATTTTTTCTTTATGTTATTAATAAAATATATTTTATACTACCTTCATCCCGTTCGTTTGGGACAAAGGGGTGTGATGTGGTTTTTAAGAAAAAGTAGAATTGTGTAGTTGATATTGAATTAGTAAAGTGTGAATGAATTCTAACCACTCAAATATTACAAATGTCGTACATGACAACCTTAATGAGATAGACGAAAAATGTAAAACGAGACAAAATTAGAGAGACTTTTTTTTTCACAAATCAACTAAATTAGCCAATATTCAATCGATTTCAATCTTAACAAACTCGCTCTGAATTAGAATTCTACGGATGGTGACAAAGTCGCCCGTTTTCGAGTCGTCCCAGCCAGCTATCCGATTTTCACGTATTAAATATTCTTATCCAAAAAACCAGAATTTCCAGAGGGGGTCCATACTCTCTTCTTGTTTTAGAGAAGAACACCGCAATTTTAACAAACCGGATCGAAACCTCAGCATAAACAAAAGAAGAAAATCTTACGTGAAAGCAAAGATAAGATCAAAGATTTTCCAATAATAGCATTTTACATCCTTCAAAGCAACAATCTTTCTTGGTCTTTCTCCATTTGTAAGATATATATATATGCAAGTATATAAACTTCACAGACTGGCAAAACTTTAAACCAGTTATCACTCGTCACCAGCTTCACTGTGAGCTCACCCTCCTAACAAACTGCTCTTTATCTGCATCATGCATTAAGCCATAAAGTTCACTTCTTTCCCACAATCTTTCCATCTTTGTAGGTCGTCTCCAGGTAATTGTAACAACTAATTGCAAATATTATTGGCTTCTTGCCTATGTAATAGGAACATTTAGATGACCATGGTTTACTAATTATTTGGTATTCATTCAATTTTTCCTACTTAATGGCTTCTTTGTGACTTTGTTCTGTTGACCTTAGATTCTGTAGATTCTTAGCTTCTCAAAGCTTGGCATGTTACTGGGTCAAATTGAACATTTAAAAATTAAAAAGAAAAACAGGGTAAGACTTTGGATTAGCACACAATTACACATTAGTCAATACAGAGCATAAATCATGAATGTATGTAGTAGTGGTAGTACTCTTCTTATCAAGTTGACATTTTGATCGGTGTCACACTCTGTTAAGCTTAAATGCGTGATATAATCCTTGTAATCCTAAAAAACTAGCACAGTTAACTTTAATATTGATATGTTTTAATTTTTAATTAGTGACGATCTTGCAGGTCATGTTTAATTGGGTCATCCCATAGATATATAAATACAAACCAAACCCAAGCCTTAAAATGGAGAAGTGTGTTTTTCTGTTTGTGTATGCTTTAAGTAGACTCCGTAGGATAGTTTCACTTGCAAAGTAACTGACTTAGCACTTCTGCAGCAGTTAAATAGCATACGGCTTCTCTGAGTGTGGTGGGAAAGCAATGAATTCAGCTCCATCCCTTTTGGGCATCCTTAGTTTCTTTCTTTTGGGGATTCTTACCTTGAACCAATGTTCTGGAACCACAGTCAATACACAGTTAGCATTTCTCCATGTGGATGCCTCAGAAGCATCAGCAAAGAAAATACCAAACACTTTGTTCGGTTTATTCTTTGAGGTAAGCCGTTCGGATCGAATAATTTTACTACTACTACTACTACTACTTAATTAATATGATTCAGGTGTGATCTTATTAGTTCATTTGCATTTTCATTGGTGTATGTTGAATAATATATGGTTATATAACATTTGCTTACATTTTTAGTACCTGCAACTTTTGTTCCTTCTGACTTGTCTGGAATCCCTGGTTTAATTCATCAGTTCTAGAATTCATAATACACACATTTGCTCATTTGGTCAAACCGTATTAAAAGATGAATCATATTGATTCCATACTCTGACTCAATACATCAATGTCTTAGATTTATATATAAAAAACCATCCAAAGTTTTGTTATTTTGTATAAATCTTTACGTGTCTCTTTAGTATTTAGATATTATACTCTTAAAATGCACTAATTCTAGGAAAATATTTTATTTCAGGAAATTAATCATGCTGGTGCTGGTGGGTTGTGGGCGGAGCTTGTGAGCAACAGAGGTTTGCTGAACTGATACTTGTTTTTCTTCAGTGGCTGACTTAAAGTCATTGCCTATAATGATTTTCTTTATCTTGATTACAATGACTGCCTTTGCTTTCCGAGTATGTGCATATATTATATCTGTTGGGGTGAAACCCAGGTCCATTACTTGAGAAATACTGGAGAATTACTTTAAATATAAGTATCTACCCAACTCCATTAGTATGAGGCCTTTTGAGAGATGTCTAAAAGCAAATCCTTACGATTTTAGCCCAAAATGGGCAATAGGATACTAAATGTGCAGCTAATGTGATGTTTGTCGTCCTAACAATATCTGCATTTGGATTTATGTTAAAGAGATTCTCAATTGTACTTCTAATCCAAGAGTATATGCTTGTAAGATTGTTTTGATAATATTTAATTTATTTCATTTGTTTTCGGAAACTTGATTTCAGGTTTTGAAGCGGGGGGTCAGAATACACCCTCCAACATTGATCCTTGGTCAATTATTGGGGATGAGTCCTCATTGACGGTCTCCACAGAGCGTTCTTCTTGCTTCGAGCGGAATAAAATTGCACTTCGGCTAGATATTCATTGCGGCAATAAGGGTGCTAATACCTGTCCATACGGGGGAGTTGGTGTCTCCAATCCCGGATTCTGGGGCATGGTTAGATATCTAGCTCTTGGTCATGTAACTAGGTTATAAAGCACGTTGGCACACTAAAAGATCGAGTCCAATAGATTAACCAGCATAACAAAAGATTTCTTAATATCCAAAGGAGGACTACTATCCAGGACCACATGTACTCATATTTCTCTTGTTGTTCACCTTTTGTAGAACATAGAGGAAGGGAAGAGTTATAAACTTGTGTTTCATGTCCGTTCACTTGA